AACGCCTTGTAACCCCCTGTTATCTCTTGTAACGCTTTGTAACCCCCTGTGACCTATTGTAACCAATTGTATTCCCTGTAACTCCTTGTAACCTTCTGTAACCCTTTGTAACCCCTTCCAAGCCCCTCTAACCCCTTCTAACCCCTATGTAACCTCTTTTAACCCCCTGTAGCCCCTTGTGACCCCTGTAACCCCTTCTAACCCACTGTAACCCCTTGTAACCTCATGTAACCCTCTGTAAGCTCCTGTAACTCCTTGTAACCGCTTGTAGCCCTATGTAAACCCATGTAACCCCTTGTAACCCCATGTTTGCCCTTTTTAGCCCTTTTAAGCTCCTTTAACTCGTTGTTACCCCTTGTAATTCCTTGTAACCGCTTTTAGCCTCTTGCAACAACCTGTAACCCCCTCTAGCCCCTTGTAACCCCTTGTAACGCCATGTAAACCCCTGTGACCTCTTTTAATCACCTGTAACCGCTTGTAACCCGATATAACATCTCTTAACCCCTTTTAATCCCCTGTAACCCCTTGTAACAACCTTCAACCTCTTGTAACCCCCTCTTACCTTCCTTAATCCTCTGTAACCCCTTGCAACCTCTTGCAACCACCTTTAAGCCCTTGTAACGCCTTATAACCCCATATAATCCCCTGTATCCCCATGTAACCCCTTGTAACCCCTTGTAACTACCTCGGAGAGAGCTGTTAATACGCTAAAAAAGGAAACCAATCTTATTCTTGTCTCTATGACTCCAAGCTCTGCCTTTCCAACGTTGATAAGTATCAAGCAAGGAGAGAAAACGCAAAAAATTGTGGCTAAATACGTATATAATCGCTTTCTTCAAAGAGATAGACGCGTTAAATCTATCCTTGTTTAATAGTTGTATAAATTTTACAAATGTACACCTCTGTAATTAATGCACGAAAATCTTTGTTAGTGTTGTAAACACATGTGTCTGTGGGCGCTCTGTTGATAATAAAGCACTTATCCTATCCTATCCTATCCTATCCTATCCTATCCTGTAACTATCCTGTAAGTGCATGAGAATAACAAGATCTAAGGTTAATGGACAGTGTTCGTATTCCATCAACTCTTTACCCCTGGAACAAGTAGTTACCCACAAGCATCTGGGTGTAACATTCTCATCTGATCTATCTTCGAAACATCATGTCCTTGCAATAGCTGCTAAAGCCAGCAGGATCTTGGGTCTACTTAAACGTACATTTGGCAGGTGCTCTGAAGCAATAATAACTGGATACAAAACAATGGTTCGACCTATCATCGAATACGCATGTCCCGTTTGGAATCCACATCAAGCCTACCTGTCAGACCAACTTGAAAGAATCCAAAGAAATGTCTCACGCTGGATCCTTGGTGGACCTATTGATTATACCGAACGTCTGCAATACCTTGGTTGGATGGAGCTTAAGTCCCGTAGGGAATATCTATCGATAATTCAATTATTTAA